CAGCTTGCCTGTCCCAGTCAGCGGCCCTCCGTCTATACCAGGGGCTCAAGCTGGAACCTGGGGCTCAGTCCTGCCGCCATCCTTGGCCTGTCACATCCAATCGATCGCCAGTTTCCTCAGTTCAGCCTCCAAAATGTAGCACAAACTCTCTCCACCATCATTGCTATCATGCACTTCTCTTGCTTAGATGAATGCAACAACCTTACTTAATACTGAACCTTCTGCCCAAATCCATTCACCACACAGAAGCCAGAATGAAATTTGGGGGGGGGGGAAATGTAAATGATATTGCCTCACTCCCTACTTTACTTTTTTTTAATTATAGATTCATCAGCCCCTGGCTGGTGTTGCTCAATGGTTAAAGTCAACCCATGCACCAAAGGGTCATGGGTTTGATTCCTGGTCAAGAGTATGTACCTGGATTACAGGTTTGATCCCCAGACCCAGTCCAAGCACATGCAGGAGGCAACCAATCAATGCATTCTTCTCTTCCCCCCTCCCTCCCTCCCTTCCACTCTCACTAAAATCAATGGAATAAATATCCTTGGGTGAGGATTAACAAAAAAATTTTATTGAATAATCTAAAGATGTAAATAGGCCCCATACATCCTTTACCCAACTTCCCCTAATGTGAGTGATTTCTCAGGTGGAGAGTCCCCCAAATCCTCAACTTGACCTCCAAAGCCCTTGGGATATGCCAGTGTCCCCTCACCCTCTGAGCTCCCTCACAGTGGCCTTCTTGTAGTTCTTCAACTGAGCGAGGATCTAGGCCTGCGTGGGGCTCTTTCTTCCCCGTGCCCTCTCGCTTCTCTGCTCCGGGAACTCCTCTTTACCCTTCAGGCATCAGCTTAGCTACCCCTGACTCCATGGGCCTTCCTCACCCACTCACTCCAAGGGAGGTCCCCCGCACCCTCTCCTCGTCAGCCACAGCCCTGCGATCTAGAATGCTTGTGCAATCGAGAACGTTCAGCTTTTATGTCCGACACCTCTAGACCCTACGTCCAACATGGTGAGCGCGTTCTGTTTTGATTGTGGCCCATGCCACGCCTGTCACCTGCACATCACAGGCGCTTCAGATTGAACCATGGAGCAGCCTGTGTTGGTTCTGTTTCCATCAAGAAGGAAAGAAATGGCATCCTCCAGGCACCCTCTGAATTCCAGCCCCTCCCTTTGCTCCCCTCCGCACTCAGCATCCAGAGCCAGCCCAGTGATAATGAGGGCGCCTCATCTCTCTGATTTTCCGTCAGTCACAGACCGGGACTAGCAACTTACTTCACAAACACTGAAACCTGAACTTCTGCTGCTTGTGTCCCAAGCTCCAAGCTTTTTGTAATAAAGGCAGAAAAGGCCATCTCTTGAAAAGGATCTGGAAAATGATTATTTCTGGCAGAAAACTTGTCTCAGAGCTTATGCCTCAGAATCCCTCATGAATGCATAAGGAACTTGGGAAGGATCAGCGAAGCGTTCCCCTCACCCTCTCCGTTCCCTTGCTGAGAACTGGATGAGGAAAGTGACAGCCAAGGTGATGATTGGGAGGGAGGGATGTGGGCGCTGGAACACACGGCCCTTGCAGGCAGGAAATTGAGCAATCCATCCAGCTTACGCCGTGTCTTTCTTCGGGCTTCACTTATGAGTCACCTAGCAGTTTTTTCTCTGCGATTTAGTTCCAATGAGTTTTTATTTTATTATTTTCAACAGTAAAAGAAAATAGTGTCCAAAAGCCAAAGCATATTTAAAAGAAGAGCTGTAAAAAAAAAAAGGAAAGAAAGAAAGAAAGAAAGAAAGAAAGAAAGAAAGAAAGAAAGAAAGAAAGAAAGAAAGAAAGAAAGAAAGAAGAAAGAAAGATAGATGGCGGTCTTTGCTCTGGTATATGACATACCATTTTAACTTAACGCCATAAAGCCTCTTTAAAGTTATTGTTTAAACCTTTAACATATTCTCATCTGCTTTCTTGATGGGTGATGAGCCATCTCCATAAAGTTTTTAATGCTGTAAAATAACTGCACATTAAATAGCTTCACCAAATTCGGGCGTTCAACATTGTGGTGCAGGTGGCCGGTGGTGCTCTGAGCCAGTGGTAAGTGCCTGGAAACATTGGCCGTGCAGGCGGACAGATGGGAGAGTGAGGAGCGCAGAAAGCCATCATCCGGCTGGGGGGACGCCGTGGCAGCCCACACGGCCTCTGGTCAGCGCCACGTCCATCTGCTGGAGGAGGGCGACCGCCCAGCCCTGCTCGCTCACATCAAAGCCGGGCCGGCGGCCCACTGCACAGAGTCCTCTGCCGAGACCGCCCCCTGGAGGCACTGTGGCAGAGTTGCTTGTTTTGTGCTTGTTTTTGCTTTTGTTGTTAAAATAATTTTCTCATCAACGGGCACTGTTTCCGTATCACAAAACGTCAGTGGGAAGTATTCGGAGGCAGGAGAGAAAAAAGTCAACGGGCTTCTAAAACATTGGCAGCCCTGGCCGGGGAAACGCAGACACCGAGTTCGAGATGCCTGTTGACCTTCCAGCCACAAGGCTGAAGGTTTCCGTTATCCCCGGAAAAGTCCGTGCCTTCTGCGAAGGTGCGTTGAGCCTGAACTAACCATGCATGCCACCTTTCCTTGGGGGGGCTCAGAGTACATTTCGTGTATTTAGCCAAGCAGAGGTAGGAGTAGGGAGCTAGGTTCTTTTCAAGTACAGGTGCTAAAAACAAAAGCATCCTGCTGAGCGATGGGGCCCCGGGGACCGTGGTGGCTGCCTGCACCTGCCGGGCACTCCTGTGCCAATGCCTGGACTGGCCCCTGAGAGCACAGAGAAGGAGGGAGAGGGAGGGGCAGGGAAGGGCCCCTGGTCTCCACGGCCTCCTGGGGCTTTTCACCGTTTTCCCCTCCTCGTTCTACTCCCTAAGGTGCCCTCAGCAAGAGAGCGCCCTGTGGATATTCTTTCCTCTCCTGACACTGGAATGCCCTGGCATTTGGCCCTAAATTCATGGGAATCAGAGAAAAAAGAGGGGAAGTGACCCCGTGAACTGTTCACTGGAGCCTGGGCTGGCTGGCCAGCTCCCTCGCCATCCCCTTAGGGTAGAAAGAGCAGTTTGGAAGCTGAGTCTTGGAAGCCCTAACATAAGCGAATGGTAACTTCTCCCAGGATGGAAGATGTTCAGTGCCAAGGTCCACAGAGCGTATGTTTTCGTCGGTGTTGGTGATTTGGTCTCGGTTCCTTTGCCAGGCCCAGAAGCCACACCCCCGGGGTCGCTCCTGCCAGGTTTCCTCCAGCCTTTGCTGGGTGTTTCTCCACAGAAACCCCTGTCCTTCTGAGGGGCCGCTCCATGGGACCAGGGCCCGAAGCATCCCTGGCCCCAGGCGTTCATGCCGGCAGTGACCCCCTTGCTATGGACACACAGAAACACCCCTCCTCAGCCTCAGTGGCCTTGTGTTGGGCAAGAGGTGCCCCCGCTGAGCACCGCCACTGCAGGCCTGGCCGGGAGGCCCGGGCTCCACCTTGCCGTCCAGAGCGACCAGTTCCACTTTCCCCTGCACACATCCTCCTTGTCTTTGCAGCTTTGCTCGCATATTAGTGGGAAGGATTCCAAATTGATTCCTTCACTTGACATTTCCTGAGCCCCTGCCAGCCGCCTCAGGCCCTGACTGAGGAGCCCGGGACCCACCGGCCATGAGTTAGCGGCACCCATGTCCCCACGTACTCATCTCTCAAGCGTCGTCAAGTCCTCCCTGGCCCTCTGCTCTGACTTCCTGCCTGGGGCTGGGCTTCTCTGGCACAGTGACCGCGCCTCCTGCCTTCGCTTCTATCCCTCCTGCAGCCCCCGCAGGGGTCTCCGTGTGGGGGGCATTCGGCCAGCGCTGGGCGGACCGAGTGAGCCAAGACGTGTGTGCGTGTGTGCGTGTGTGTGTGTGTGTGTGTGTGTGTGTGTGTGTGGCCAAGGGTGGATTCAGTTCTGTGACAGGATCAGGTTTCTGCCAGGTCGTGTTTTTCTCATCTGAAGATCCTGCCTGTCTGTCTGCCCTCCGCACGGAACGAGGAAACATGCCGGCGCCCCGGCAAACAGGACACTTTCCATGCGTCCTGGACGTCCTGGCCACGTGCACTTCTGTTCCCTGTGCACCGAGTGAGCCACTCCCACCGGCCGGCCGTGACCCCTCCCGGCAGTGGCTTCGGAGACGTGGAAGGGTGTGCCCTGCCTTCGGGAGCTCAGACCCACGGGGCACGTGGGCAGACGAGGCTAAGCAGACAGGAGGCAGTGGGTGCAAAACGGGGGGAATCTGATGGAGAAATGGAGGCCTTTTGTTTCGTTTTGCTTCTTTTGTTTTATAGAACATTCCAAACATGTAGAAAGTCTAGAATAATATAATGATCCCCGTGTGCTCGTCGCCTGGTTTCAGCAGTTACCACCCAAGGACGTTGTTTTGTTTGCATGTCCACCCCTCTCCCTTCCCTCCAAGTACATTGTTTCAAGGCAAATCCCAGATCCTGTAATGGTATCCATAAATATCTCCATAGGAATCTCTGAAGACTCTTTTAAAATTGCCACAGAATCATTGCCTATAAACAAATCCATAATCTCATAATATCTCCATATTTCTGTCAGTGTTCCGGGTTACAATTGTGGTGACTTTTTCAATAAATCAGAAAACTGGGTCAAAGGTATACCTTCATCGAGAGAGATGCTATGAAGTAGAATAAAGCAACAGGGAGTACAAATGAAATAGCTGGGGAGGTGGCGGGAGGGTAGGAGGGGTCTCCTGAGACCTGTCCAACCTCACCAGCCTGGCACCCCCCTCCCCACGCTCGCCCCCTGGTGGCAGGGCCCTGCAGGGGCTTCAGTTAACTCCTCGGGAGTGTTCACTGCACAACACACAGAGCTCCTACTGTGTTGCCTGCAGTTTGATACTCGGCCACATGGCAAAAATGTGTGTGACCCGGGTTTTTGTAAGTGCTGATTGACCACGTAATGTGGAAGTCAGAATATTAAATAAACATCTCTGCCCTTTCCTCCACAGGCAGCCCAGGGAGCCGCGCTCCATGCTCTGTCTGACAGGTATGTTTTGTCATTTTTATGAACTATAAATTGCTTTATGAAACATCGAGCCCTATTTATCGTAGCATATAATTCATAATCGGATTTTGTCCCTCTCGTGTCTGGGAGCTGGGGTGTTAAACGTTTTGCATGCTTGGATTTGTCATGCCCGTGTGGGTTTATTACTGCCAAAGTCGCCGTGTTGTATTTCACAGGAAGTGTGGAGGGTCCCTTGTTGTTAGTGAAACAAGAGACTCGGAGCCAGAGGGAAAGGCCTCAGCGCGCAGTAAATCCCAAACTTCGGAATTGTTTGCGACCTGAGCTCATTTTTCAGCAATAAGTACTTCATTTGCTTTGAGGTGTTTTCCTCAGACTTTTTCCATATCATTTCCCGGGAGCTGTCTGGCTTTCACTGAGATTCTCCCTGAAACACTTTATGCACGTCACCCACTTCCCGGTCCTGAGAGCCTGGCTCCTCCAACCACCCTTCAGCTGGTTTTCTGACTTTATTATGAGTGAGATCTACAAACCCAATCAACTGTCACTCAAACTGTGTTCACATCTGGCTTTTCTGTATCAAAATAGTTGGATGGGATCTATAGCTACTTTTGAGAGCAGATCAGGCCCTTTTTCTTGTTGGTTCATTGTTATCTTCACTTGTTAAGGTTCTGCGTGTCTAGGGAGGTAGGAGGGGTGTGAGATGGGGAGCCGGATGGCCTGCCCTGATGAGGCCCGAGATCTGGGGGGTGAGGGGTGTCCCCGCTGGGGGGCAGGGTTCGCCAGGGCAAGTGGCCAATACTTCTGGCCTCTGGTGGTTCTGCTGTTTTGGTCGCTGGGCTTTTATTATATAGGATAATAAAAGCATAATATGCTAATTAGACCGATCACCTTCTGGCTGCGAGGGAAGCCCGGGTCCTGGGTGCCTGCCAGTGACCAGCTCGGGAAGCCTGGGTCCCGGGTGCCGGAGGGAAGCCATGCGGCAGCCAGGGGAAGGAAGGCCTACTCTTGCACGAGTTTCATGCATCGGCCTCCAGTGTTTCAATAAAGTGGTGTAAATAGATGCAAAATGTCATCATGACCTCTGGTAGAAGGAATCAAGCCTATTTTAGGAAAGTATGGGCTCCCTTTGAAGACCTGGTTGCAAGATACAATCAGAAATTAGGACTCCTTCCCAGAAGACACGTGGCCCAGTCCTGGCTGGCAAAGGTCCACGGGTGATAAACAGCGCTGCTCCCTTTGACTTTGTTCTGGAAGTCCCTCCAGCCCCTCCTGGTCAGGCCCGAGCTCATCAGCCAGGAAGCTAGCTCCTGGGCCCCTGTTGGTTGCATAACCAAGTGCAGGAGAAACCATCCACCCCCTAGAGACAGAGGCTCCCGTTGTCACTACTCTTCCACAAAGTCTCTGTCCCCCGTGGAGTAGAGCATTTCCCCTGAAGTATAACAGTTTCTCTGCTCAAATTTGAGGGAACTGGGCTCATTTCAAAGTAATGAGCCTAGTCGAGGGTTGTCTGCAGCTCCCTGCTCTGGCTGCTCCTGTCCTGTGTCCACAGGTGGGATTTCCATAAGTGAGAACCATCTGTGACCATTTGGAGATGCCATTGGAAAGCCTCCTTTCCAATAAGGACGTAGAACACCCACTGAATTCTTAGACTCACATTTTCCTGGGTCTCAGAGACCCAGCAACAGAAGTCATTTTCTACCACTTACCTGACCTGGGAGGAAACCAGTAATTTCTAGGAAATGGTTGACCAGGGTGGGGATGAACTGCGTAAATACCTGCCCCAGGTTCTGACCTTCCCGAGGTGGCGATCGAACCCAGGACCGCTGCCTCCTGTCGCCTGGCACTCACCTGATACACATTCATGTACACCGACTATTCTGGTCTCTAAACTATTGTTTTTCAGCACATTAACCATCTCTTGATATTAAACTCCATATGAGACAGCACTTTCATTTTTACCCCAGAAGAACAGAACCCTGCTTAGGCCTTAAGGGCTGCCCGAGTTCTGCACATCACGTGGAACAGGGCGGCGCAGGCTGGCCCAGGCCCCGGCACACGGCTCCCCTCGGCGTCCTGCCAGTGCCCCCGCGGGCCGTCCCGCTGCCCTGTGGCTGCACAGCCGCCCGGAGTGCCCGGGACAGGCGGTTTGGGAGGGGCTGAGCGCTGTTTTGCTTCAAGATGTGCAGCTTGGTGATGAAGAGGGTTTGGCTGGCGGGGCTGGGGATCTGGGTTACAGAGCAGGAAGCTGCTGTTGCTCTCTGCCTCCCAGGCAGGAGGCCTGCTTCCAGGGCGCGGAGGCAGGACCTGGCAGACCAGTGACGATGCGAAGGGCGGCCTTTCTCTGTCCTTCCTGAGGACGTAGCAGGTCCCTCCCTGTGCGGTGTCAGAGGGAGAGACTAGCCAAACGTCTTTGGGGGGCGGTCTCGCCTGCCTCGTCACCTCTCCGTGTCCTGTTTTAAGCAGGCATTCTGGGAGAGAGGGTGTCTGGTAGCTCAGATTGTGTGCTTTGGAGTTGTGAGTCCGTGGTAATCAAAGCACAGCCCTGGTACATTATAACGATGAGATATTTCGTTACCTACATTTAAACATCATCTGTGGTCAGCCCCACAGAAAACCTTTGGCCTTGCTTTGCTTGGCCTGAGGGATGAGCTTTATGTACGGTTCAGCCTGAACAGCCAGTGTGTCCGCAGGTGATCACGGGGTGACAGTCACAGAGCAAATCTGACGTCCCCCAACCTACGCCTGCCACCGGCACGGCGGGAAGGCCGGTGTAAATGGGGTGGCCTGTTTCTCATTCTTTCCTAGCATCAACTGTAGAGTGTTTCATCTGTCACACACCACTGGGTGTCCGCTGGCAAACCAAAGGCCCGGTGGTGCCCAAATAATGAAAAACATCAGGAGACCAGGGCAGGACAGACGAGGGGGCGAAATTCTCTGTCTGGTAGACAAGCCAATCACAAGAAAGCCTCCACTTGCAAAAAGACACAGTGCTTCCCACCTACTCCTCACCGTGTGTGCCTCTCGGGGTCTCTTGTCCTTATGGATTGTGTGTCAGGGGGTAGAGAGGGGCAGGGAGAACCGGGGTAAGTGCGCCTGAGGCTGGCTTGTCCAGGTGAGCTCTGTTGGCACACTGCAGGAAAGCGGGCACCCCGGGAATGTGGGGGATATGCAGAGTGCTGGCGGAGAGGGAAGGATGTACGCAGCATACAAAGTCCCCTCGCTGTGATTCACTTCCCCTCTGAGCAGTAAAGAGTAGGTAACTGTGGTGGGGGGGGGAAGGGCCTGTGATTTATCAGGCCGAGCAGCTGCGGGTCTGCAGGAGGCGGAGGTCCGTCGTGAAGCCTGGGAGGAGCAGGAGGCGGCGGGGACTCGGTGTCCATGCCCCTGCGCCTCGGGCTCCGGAGGCGGCCTGGAGCCCGCAGCGGTGCTTTATGGCTGATCGGGAATTCACATTCACTGCGAAACCTCAAGCATCATTTGCAAGAACTCAAGCTTTATAAAAACGGAGCCTAATTTCATCTGAATAAATCATGTTCAGCTACAAATAGGAGGAGCTGGGGAAACTGTGCTCGACTTAAAAAAAAAAAAAAGGATGAACAAGAAAGCCCACGTGGAAACAGTTGTTGAAGCGCTGGCAGTCAGAGGGTGAAATCGCGCATGTAATCATCTCTGAAATGTCAGCCTGCCGCGCAGACAGGCCTGCGTGTTTATAGCCTGGGAGACGCATCACCAGACTGTGCCCTGTCAGCCCATCTGGCAATATTTCAGCTCTAGGATCCATTTATATTGAAATCCAAACAACCACCATTGATTTATTCATTTGTGCCACGAGTATTTATGGAGCGCATCCCGGGCCCAGCGGGCGGGCGCCGTGCGGGGCAGGCTGCGGGGCGGCCGGGAGCGGCCACGCGCCCCGCAGGGCCTCATCATCCAAAGGGCCTTCATCGTCCTGCGTTTGCCGCTCTCGGCTCAGCTTCCTCAAGTCAATCTCGCCATCGAACGTCCTCTTCCCGTTAGGGAGAAGAGGATGAAAGTAGCTGCGTGAGGAATGGCATAAAGTGAAGAGGTTTCACCTCCCTGTGAGTCTATCTGCATCTAAAAGCAGACCTGGACGTGTCCCCAAAGCAAGGCAGGGAGGACTTTCCAGAAAGTTCCACGTTTGAACCTGGAAGATGGCCAGGAGGCTCACTGGAGAAGTGTGTCAACCCGGAGCCCACAGCCGTCTCTGGCCTCCAGGGCCAGGGGCTCTGCCGTGACGTTCTGGGACGCCGTGTGAATAAACGCCTCCTGCAGCGCTCACAGCTGTCACAGTGACAGCCACCGGCGACCACAAGAAGACTGAGCCTCAGGAGGTGGCGGGATCAGCGCAGGCCACCGGAGCGAGCGAGCGGCAGAGCTGGGACAGGCCCCCAGGCCCCTGTCCGTCTTCACTCAGCAGCAAAGCAGGCTGGGGTGGGGGCAGGGGCAGGCAACTCAGGCCACATAGATTCTGACAAAGACTTTACTTGATGTGCACTAACACTGTCTTCGTTTCTACTAATAATTATAATAATTGTGACTTTCCATTCATAACTAAAGTGATCTTTTAATTCCTAGCCCCTCGAACAGTTCCTGGCAATTAGGAAAAACACAGTAAGTTATTTGATGAATGAAGGAGAACAATGAACACACGAATGACGGTTTTGTGGTTAAACAATGGCGACTTTGGACTTAAATAGGAAACACTTTCCTGGAACTGGCTGTTCTGGAGGTAGCAGACCACCTCAGGAGGCAGAGCCCCCTCCCCCGCCCCCGGCTCATCCCTGAGGATCCAGCAGGGCTGTGCCTACAGAAGCCATAGAATTGGTACGCTGTTCCCTGTCAGAATGGCTGTCATCAATAAATCCACAGACAACCAGTTCTGTGAGGATGTGGAGGGAAGGGAACCTCGCACACCGCTGATGGGAATGTATTTGGTGCGGCCACTGGGGAGAGCCGTACGAAGTTACCTCAAAATATTAAAAATGGAACTGCCTGAGGGC